ATTATAATTTGAACGATTTCATACTTAGGACTGCAATATGAAATTGTGTTGCAATCCTCTAAAATTTTATTTAATTTATTTATAGGTAAAGAACAGAGCTTGGTTAATAGATAATGTCTGCCGTTGTTTTTTGAAATAGAAATTAGGTCCGAAATATTTGTATGGTTGGTCCGAAATTTTTTTTGATTGCGATTTTTTCTACGCCCATGAGAACGGTTTTTACGAACAGTTTTAGAAACTATATCCAAAATGTTAACAGAATCGGTTCTTGATATATTACCGATTCCCATGATATTATCATTAAGACCGAGAGGGTAGACTGTCTGTAATTTTTTAATCCAATTTAATTCAATTATTTTCCGCGATCGTACAAACTTTGAATGAGATTCACCAGGCTGCTTATTTACTACTTCTAAAGGTTGAACTGTTAAATATTTAATAGGATGATTGTGCTTTTTAAGATGTTGATAAATGATACTTTTGAATTTATTGGGTCTTTTAAAACGATACAGGTGTTCTTGCGTGTGTTTAGATAAATATCGTCCAGTTTCACCTACGTACTGAATACCGCATCCCTGTTTGCTTCATGTGAGTAAATAAATAATACTGTTTGTTTTTCAAGTTATATCAGTCTCACAATTTAAAGAAAATGTGCGACCATTAAACGTAGACCTTACCGTATTGTTGGTGGAAAGACTGGGACATGTAAGTCATTTTTTGGCATGACACTTATCGATAGAAGGGTAACCACGATTTTTATTGTTAAAAATGTTAGCGATGGTAGTATTTTTAGATAAGCGATTTTGAAGATTGAGACGTGTAGATACCCTTTGAACGAGTTTAGTATTTAATATTTTTCCATTTCTAAGCTTCATATTTGTTTTTTGTTATGTGGATTTTATTAGAAAGGAGCAAAGACTGGCGTCCAGAATATGAACCAGCACACAATAAATTGAATTATGTGAATATGATAAAACTGTTCGGCTAAAGACGTCAAACGCTATCCGTCATAAATTACCCGAAAAATAAAACAAAAGGATATTTTGCAATGTGACCTGCACTATAGGATATTTTGCAATGTGACCTGCAAAAGGTATGAATGTTATTTACATTCTAGAATGTTCGGTTTGTGGCCTCCAATATGTTGGTGAGACAAAGCAGCCTTTCAAAAACGCCTCAATGGCCATAGGAGTGATATATCTAAGAAGCCATTTCTCCCAGTTAGTCAGCATTTCAGACAGTCGGGTCATAAACTTGATATATATATATGCATACAAGTCTAAATTGAAAACAACGTTCAAACCTATGATTGCGTTGGATAAAAACCGCAATTTTTATACGTGTGCATGTAAAACAAATTTCTTGGTAGAGGGGTCTAAATACAGCACAAACAACATTTTCCAAAAGACCAAAAAGTGAAAAGTATATTTAAACAAAACGCATTTGTTAACGCAGATGTTACATGGATCTTAATCATTAATTTTAATACCAAACAGAAAACAATAAACTTGCGAAAAGATGGTATATCGCAAACATGAGGTGATAACAAATTTGTACACCATATACGGATTTCGACAATAAATGTCTCTTCAGTGATGTTAGGGATCGAAACAGTATTTGGAAGGCCGTATAATTTACCTCATATAATATATCAGTTACCGCCGTGGATAGTAAACTTGGAATTGATAGTAAATAGCAATTATGAGCTATTTATAGTATATGCATGTTCCTAGTATACAGAAAAACGCGAAAATAAATTAAATTAAAAGAAAACAAAAAAATAACGGATTTTGGAAAAAAGGGGAAGGGCTAAAAAAGAATTGTCCTGTCCCAAAGTACCTATGGTTAATTATAACTTTTGAATTATTACAAGAATGAGCACCATCATTTGTACTAACTCTCAACGAACGATATATCTAAGTAGTGCTATAATACTTTGATAGGAAAATGAAGTGGACACCTTATCGCTATTTACTTCATTCCGGAAAAAAACAGTCACTTAGACAACTTCCTGTTTGGGTCAAGTGTCCCGAAAACAAAGGTCATCAGTAATGAGCTGAGGGTGGGAAAAGTTTAGAAAGTGAACATTTTGAAATTTTGAGTTAGAAAAGTTATGATCCAAATCTTTTAAACACAAATTAAAGTAATTGAAATGAATTTTTTGAAGTGTTTACGATGGTTTAAACATGTATCTTCGAAAAGTTTTATGCACAACATATGATTGTTTAAACATGTAAGGCCCCCGTTATTGTAGGCGTAGCGAGAATGGCCGAGTAGTTACGATTGAGGCCCCCATGAGATAACTTCAACTTGATTGTGACGTCATGAAAAGGCTGTATAATTTCTGAACTTATCCGGATTGGAATAAATAGCGATACGGGTATTCTGCCTTGGTTGTTATACGAAAATTTTAAATCGCCAAGTACAAAATTTAAACTTAACAATAGCGTACACATAAATCTTTGTTCCAACAATAATGTCATGGACAATAAACAGTCAACAAAAACTTCTATCCAGTAATCATGACCCTGTGGTACATGCATGGACCCTCTCCGTATTCCATGCATATACGGACTTTGAACACAGCCACAATTACTTATACACGTACAAAGTGTACTAAACGACTTCTATACCTTCCACTGGCGTAGCTAGGTCATATTTAAGTGTACGCCCGAACCTCGGCGAGGGGCCTGCAGGCCCCCAGCAGATCCAGGACAAAGGACACTTCTGGTAGAGCTTTCAAGGGGGAGGCGAAGCCCCCGGAAGCTCAAGCGTTATCGAGAAAGATAGTGTTTCTTTCATTAAAAACTCATCAATACATGTAGCAACATACTGTAAAGTCTAATTGGTTTATATTTATGTTTAATTAATTCATTGGTTATTTTGTTGATTTGAAATCTTAATGGTCATTGGTTTAAGAGGATAATGTCCAAACCAGTTACTTTATTATATGTTTAATAAAAGGAGATGTTGGATAAAACAAGCAATCGACAAAAAGTCCAAAACTTTAGAGATAGTAATAAAGCAAAAAGTCTCCATTTCAATGTTGTCTTTCTATAAATTGTTTTTGCACTTCATCTAATTATCTCCCATTTTTATTCGCAAGTGTCGTTAATGGATATACGAAATAATTTATTTTCATGTGTAACATAAAAATTCGTAATGGCCGGTTGCGTGGAACCCTGTGCCTCGCCTGGGACAGCTGCTATCAGCGTAAAAGTGTAATGTTGACTGTAAAATGTGAATGCCTTTATCAGTCAAATACGGAATTTAAGAATATTTCAAACTTTTTCTTCAGATGCCTTTTCTTATAAGCTTATGTTCAAGTTTCATAACAAACAATCTGTGAAGGTTTACGAATTTATCATGTCACAAAAATCTAGTCCAAGACAGTCTGTTGATTGCAAAAAATAAATCCGTCTATCAGTAAAATACCGAAAAAAGATAGAAAAAATATAATTTCTAAATTTTGCTTCAGACATTATCTCTTAATCATAAAAAAACGTTCTGCCAAATTTTCATAAAATTCGATGAAGATTTGACAAAGTAATTGATGTGTAACAAACTTTAATATAAGACTGTATCTAGTTATCAACTGCATAAAAAACATCCTTTAATCAGGAAAATACGGGAAAATTAAAAACATCTTTTTATAATGCTCTGGATACTGTCTGCTGGTCATAAAAATCCAAATGTCCAATCTCATAAAATTCCATGAAGGTTTGACACAGTTTTTGATCTCTAAAAAGACTTTAACCACAGACTGAACCTAAATGTTGACGACGCCGACGCCGACGGAATCTATGATCGCGATGTCTCGCTTTCGCACATAAATATCGCAGGCTCGACAAAAATGCAAACCACATATCGTATCTCAGCAGATAATGAATTGTTTTAAAACCATAGAAAATGAACAAATATATATGATACTATTTGAATAAAAAGTAAATTCCGTCACTTTAAGTATTAAAAGGCTTTTAACCAGTTCTTTTAATTTATTAAGAATGACATATTTTTTCTCCAAATTTCATGTGTACGCCCGGGCGTTTTGACGTAAACGTAGCTACGCGCCTGCCTTCTCTTTTCCTTCCCCCGATCTTTATGTTATCCACTTAACACAAATGTACATGTTCGTCCCTGCGAGTCATCATACAGATTTAATGTATAATATAACACTAGCATACAGGTTCGTCCGTGACTCATCATAAAGATTTAATGTATAATATAACACTAGTATACAGGTTCGTCCCTGTGAATCATCATAAAGAAATTACTGTATAATATAACACTAGTATACAGGTTCGTCCCTGTGAATCATCATAAAGATTTAATGTATAATATAACACTAGTATACAGGTTCGTCCCTGTGAATCATCATAAGGATTTAATTTATAATATAACACTAGTATACAGGTTCGTCCCTGTGACTCATCATAAAGATTTAATGTATAATATAACACTAGTATACAGGTTCGTCCCTGTGAATCATCATAAAGATTTAATGTATAATATAACACTAGTATACATGTTCGTCCCTGTGAGTCATCATAAAGATTTAATGTAAAATATAACACTAGTATACAGGTTCGTCCCTGTGAGTCATCATAAAGATTTAATGTATAATATAACACTAGTATACAGGTTCGTCCCTGTGAATCATCATAAAGATTTAATGTATAATATAACACTAGTATACAGGTTCGTCCCTGTGAATCATCATAAGGATTTAATGTATAATATAACACTAGTATACAGATTCGTCCCTGTGAATCATCATAAAGATTTAATGTATAATATAACACTAGTATACAGGTTCGTCCCTGTGAATCATCATAAGGATTTAATGTATAATATAACACTAGTATACAGGTTCGTCCCTGTGACTCATCATAAAGATTTAATGTATAATATAACACTAGTATACAGGTTCGTCCCTGTGAGTCAGCATAAAGATTTAATGTATAATATAACCTTTCAAACATTTTCAAAATATATTTCAGGAGAACGAAGAAAAAGTTCCACCAATCGATGTTCTTTGGATACAGGGAAAAAATGGCGGAAATTATTTTTATTCTTTTGGAGGGTGTCATAGATTTGAGGCATACAAGAGACTTCAGAGACAAACAATTCCTTGTAAATTGTTTAGGTCAACTATAAATGACCTTCGGACTTATCTCGGGGGATCTACTCCAGATCTGTTGTAATAATTGGGACGTAGTTTGGAGGATCTACTCCAAATCTGTTGTAGTACGAGTAACTTACTGGCAATTCATAGCTCTCAATTTGAGCTGGTTGCATTCCGATCTGTGATGTTCAATGTATTTAATAATAATCAGATATAAACGGGTACTAATAATGCACTATTCTAACCCGAGGGATTGACGGTATAATATTTATGCAGTTTTTTAAAACTTTTGTTTGATATCTATGTTTGTCAGGGACCCAGATCACATGGTCATCATGGTTATACTAACAATTATACATGTACATTTGAAGGGAATTGACATTACATTTGTTAATGCTGCAGTTTTTGCTAAACAGGTTATAAAAATAAGAAGATGTGGTATGATTGCCAATGAGATAACTCTCCACAAGTGACCAAATGACAAAGAATTAACAATTATAGGCCACCGTACGGCCTTCAACAATGAGTAAAAACCATACCGCATAATCAGCTATAAAAGTCCCCGAAATGACAAATGTAAAGTAATTTCCAAACGAGAAAACTAACGGCCTGATTGATGTACAAAATAATGAACGAAAAACAAATATGATATACAGAAACAAACGACAACCACTGAATTACAGGCCCCAGACTTGGGACAGGCACATACAGAATGTGGCGGGGTTAAACTAGTTTGAAGGCGCGCCAACCCTCCCATAACCTGGGACAGTGGTGTAACAGTACAACATAAGAACAAACCCATGCATGAATTCTATATATTTTTTTAATAAAAGGAACCACTGTGACAGATCATTCTTGTGTGAATTCCTTATGTCTTATAAATATTTACATGAGTATAAATTAACATATCAAACATTCCTTGCGGGTGTCAAAAGAGGCATACTAAAGGTGTTCTATCTACATTACCTGCCACAAGTAGCTTAAAAGGAGTTTTGAAATTTTTATGCCCCTGCCGTAGCGCTGGGGGACATTAAGTTTTACCCTTGTCCGTCTGTACGTACGTACGTACGTCCCAAAATTGGTTTCCGTTCTCTAACTTAAGTTTGCCTCAACCAAATGTTATGAAACTTGTACACAATGCTTATTACCACCAAACATAGATCAAATTTGAATTTTGGTGGCGTCACTTTAACCGTTCTAGAGTTATGCCCCTTTATAAATGAAAAAATAGCAAAATTTTTATTTTCTTCTAAATATAAAGTATTTTTTAAAATTGGAGTTATCTTCCTTTGTCCATGATTATAGTTGAATCAACTACAATAAATGCTTTATACAATGCAATGTTTAATTTTGACTTCCACTGATAAAACACAGATCAAGTTGAATTTGGGTAGTGTCACTTTAACCATTATTGAGTTATGCCCCTTTATAAATCGAAAGATTGCAAAATTTTTAGTTTCCATTCTGTAACTTTAGTTTGCCCCAACCAAACATTATGAAACCTATACACAATATTCATTACCACAAAACTAACATCAAGTACAATTTTTTTGTTTCCGTTTTCTAACTTTAGTTTGCCTCAACCAAATGTTATGAAACTTATACACAATGCTTATTACTACATAATACAGATTAAGTACGAAATTTGGTGGCGACACTTTTACCATTCTTGAGTTATGTTCCTTTATAAACATAAAAATTGCTGAATTTTTCGTTTACGTTCTCTAACTTTAGTTTGTCGCAACCAAATGTTATAAAACTTATACACAACCATTCTAGAGTTATGCGTGTTTACAAATAGAAAAATTGCTGAATTTTTAGTTTCTGTTCTCTACTTAAGTTAGCCTCAACCAAATGTTATGAGACTTACACACAATGCTTATTACCACAAAACTGAGATCAAGTTCAAATTTGGGTAGTGTCACTTTTACCGTTCTTCAGTTATGTCCCTTTATAACTATATGATATGCAAGCGGGGGCATCATCTATGTCCACATGTGGACACTATCCACATTTTTTTTTTATCTTAACCACATTTTGTGAATGATGATAGCTTTGTAAATAGCAGACACCTGTAAAAAGTCGTCAAAGATACAAAGAAATCAGTATCCCAGAAGCGTGTTTCGATTATCCTCGTCTCACCAGTGACGTCAAGGTCGGCTTTCGATTTAAGGGCTTAAATATGCCTATAAAAATTAAGTGATCCGTTCGAATGGAAGTCTGTTATCAAATGTTTGAAGATTTTATTACAATTATAGAACTATTTATTAAATAAAGAGAAATATGTACATGCAAGTTATTAAATGCTAACATAACTACTGATCCATGATCTGAATGACGTCAGTCTGGCATAAACGCTGGGGAAATCTCCGGAACACGTGCTTATACCCCATGACGTAGCCCCGGCAAGGTAAGGGGTATTTCCTGAGTAGCATGTCATCGGTCCACCACTGTCACCCTGTAATTGATTAAAAATTGACTTTCCAAACAAAATCACATTCAAATATGTAATTATGATAATCATAATCCGTTATACCTTCCCAAACTTTTATTAGAATGAAACCCATTCTTTTTAATTTGCCATAAGGGAAGGTCTGGCTTCGGTTTACAGAACAGAGAATAATGGGCAAAAACTACAGAAAACTGAAAAAAAAAATAAAGAAAAGAGAACCCTCCCCCCCCAAAAAAAAACAAAAAAAACCTAAAAAAAACAGAATAATAAGGTATTGGGTGCTAAAATAAAAAGAATACAGAATAGTATGCAAAAATATAAAGAATGCATGTCGTGATGTACTTACACTGCAGGCGGATTTACCAGATTGTAATATACAAATGTTTCCGTCATTGATAGCAGCACCAGTGACCGATGCCCATCTTGTAGAACACTCAGAGTTGCTGATGATCGTCATCTGAACATCTTTTAAATTGTCTGGGCTGCTTCCACCTTACAAATGAAAGGTTTTTTTTGTTAATTCATTATCTATTTAAGAAATGTACATTTATGCCCCGAGGGGTTGAAGGCATATGAAAAATAAGAAATATAAAACAATATCTATATGATTGAAATACTGATCATGTGTGAAATAACCATTTTGCATTAACCCAGCGTTAAATAATTATCAATCAATCAATCAATCAATCAATCAATTTTACGAGGAACATAGAATTAGTTGTTATATCCGGTAATCTGGGTTCTGAATGCTATATTAACTCAACTTCTCTTCCATATCTGAACCTAACTTTGCATTTATTGCAATAGAAAGAAAGTTTGCCTTTGAGAAATTAGTGGAACATAGACAAAAGTCAGCAATGTTTATTAACACTTACTTTTAACAGATTCATTTAGATATATGATATGGTTGTCCTTTATCATTGAAGAAAAAACCCGTCTATTATTTATTTTAGCTTATATGATTCTTTTCTCCTCAAAGCATGTTTTGTTAATCATAAAAATGGCCGTTAAAAGAATGTTCAACATTCACTTCAAATATAATACATGACGTCACAGACGCAAAGTAAGAAAACATTGAAATGAACCAACAAATTATATGTTAAGGTGGATCATCAGTATATATTTCCTCGGATAGAATTTTCTTACTTTGCCAAAATGTAGATTTTACCATCATACATGTTTTTCTCAAAAAATATAATAAAAAGTATGGGTCACCCGCTATTTTTCAAGCTACAAGTCGTGATTATTCATGAAAAAAACCCACTTTGTTTGTTGTGAATAGAAAGATAAAATCTATGAGATAGAATTTTGAAATAAAATATGTGAAGATAGCTTTAATAACATGCTTAAAGAAAATAAAATGAAAAAATGGTGTCATCGAACTTATTTTCTTACTACAAGTAAAACATTCCTTTAAAAACAGTTTACTATTAGAGTTATCTTCCCTTAATGACTAAGTTGAAAAGTTGATTTGAACAAAAAGAAATATATGGTATTTATTAAAACAGTCTAAATAATGCAATAGATTCACTAATTTTTCTTTATTCAAACAGTATTGCCCATTAATTGCCAATCTGTCTCAAAATTTGAAGATTTAAGCAAAGAATTAGACCGATTGTGTACTGTTTTTTTACAATCCAAGATGGTGGTGTACAGTTTATCTACCGTAAAACAAAAATAACAACAATACTTGTGAAACCAGTCTGAGAACATATGACTTACTTCCGCTTAGTCTTCCCCATCCCGAAAGACTACAGGTTGATCCAGTAAAATCCTGAGTTGTTGGAACAGCGATCTTATTTATAGATGCACCAAATGTCAATGATTGTGACAATTCTAATAAAGCAATGTCGTTTGGGTATCCAGGTCTGCTTGAACTATAACTTGGGTGCTGCAACGAAAAGAGAACTAATTCTAAATAGTATATCAGTATCTTCATAATTTAAAGTCAAATTTACATTTCGTTTAAAAAAATAATATATTTGAATTTCCAGTGTTGAAACTATGTTTTCGAATTGGAAAAGTAACAATGTCGATTTTCGATTCAACTGATTGAAACGGTATTGTATATTTATTTTTATCTGTATGAAAATTGTTTCTTAATTTTGAAGGAATGTTATTGTCTTTTGACAAACAACACCATTACGTCTTAATAAAACTTAACTTCGAATGTACTGAAAAATAATTAATTACCATTATAATTCTGGCCAGCGATCGAACCGTTCTTGAAGTATCTGATAATTTTGTCATTCCAGCTGCAATCCGTAAAGTGTTGACCCTGCAAACAAAGTGCACGATATAACATATTATCATGGACTTGTTTTCACTCAACACTGCAAATGGTATTAAGAATTAACAGTTGAAAAATATGTGTTTGCCCAAACTTCTAAACAATTATACAATCTTCATCTGAAATTTTCCAACATCAGAGATTCAGCCTTCTCTCACGAGGGTCCGGATGGGGTTTACAGAATAGAGAATAATGGGCAAAAAAATAGAGACTAAAGGGTCATTGAAAAAGAAAAATAAAGAAAAGAGAAATTCATAACTAAAATCTCTGTTTTGTTGATTTGAATGGTATTGCTGTTCATGTTTTGTCAAGTTTCTCTCTACCTACTACAGTTTTTGCCAAAACACAAAAATGGATAAAAATCATCATTCATGGACAGTTACTCCTATAAGTAGTGGACTAACAATTTTGGCTTTGTTGACCTATTTGTTGATCAAGTCTTGCTGATCAGTCTTACTGTTTACAGTTTCTCACTATCTTCTATAGTTTTTTCCCAAAGCGCAAAAAGAGTAAAATTAGACATTAACGGGGACAAACTCTTATATAGTGTCAAATGACGATTTAAGTTATATTGACTTATTTGTAGATCTTGTCTTGCTGATTATTTGTACTATTAAAAGTTTCTACCTATCTATAACAATTATAGTTTTTAAGATAATAGGCATACATCGCTCACCTGGATCTATGTGCATTTTCAACGATGGCCACTCTCCAACATTAAAGACTAGAATATTATTGACTTTTGTATTACTGATATTTTTTTCTTTTTTCAGTATCTCTCTATATACTATAGGTGTTGCCCAAAATACAAAAATGTGGGTAAACATCTTATTCAAGGAGAGTTACTTTTATGAGAAGTGGTCTTACAATTTCAAATTTGTTGAACTATTTATCTTCTATAGTTTTTTCTCTCAACACATATAAATGGTAAAAAATCTTCATTTAAGGGCAATAACTTCTATATGGGGTCAACTGAAAGTTTTGGCAATATTGAATCATTTGTAGATCGTATACTGCTGATATGTCAATTGACCCTTTGGTCCAGGTGGGCAAAAAAAATAAAAGAAACACACATAAAGCTTATAAAATATGTAAAGGAGAATAAGCCAAAAATGTTCTTGGAATTAGATAAATGACCTTGAAATGTGATTCAATTATACCTGATGCACTATGCACAACAATTACCCTCATATAACATATTTGGTTTAAAATAAGGAGACTGATATTGATAATAAAGATATGCTAGTACACGGTTTTTTTTAAACATTTTCATATTCATATTAATTTTGTTTATATTGTTTAATTTCACCTGCTTTAGTTAGTGATCTTCAATGTGAAGGTTAGATCCACAGGCGCTTGGGTATACATGTATGATACAGAAATTTTTTTAAATTTTTTTGTTGTTGATTAAAATATTAAATTTTCTATATCTATACTACATATCTATCACTACTGCGCATGTCTCACCTAGTTTCGAGTGATTTTACCAACTTTGAGACAAACCCCCATTTTACTATCCACACTAAGAAACAAAAAGGCAACTAACTCGACGCCATCTTGCGTGCTATAAATAAATAATAAAATTGACCTACCTGGATTTCCCATCGATTTTTATGGAAAACATGCCTTTCTCGCAGTCCGATCGCAGACGTCGTTTCTATTCATCAAATTGCTACTGTTCGTAACTTTTTTAGTCCATCTCAAGCATATAATAAAAAGATTTTCACTATTTTCACTAAATTCAAATTTACGTGCCCGGAAGTTTACTGTTTATATTCAGGGGAAGTTACTTTTTCCCGAACTTTTGTTAAAGGGAAGTAATATTTTCCCGGACTTTTTCGGAACATCTCTGCAAGTACACATTAAACAAAGAAAGGGATACGATGATTTCCGAACTAATACTGAATGTAAACAAACAGATATGATGGACGAAGAACAAGATCAAGCCTTTAATTTGATTGTAAGTGCAACCCCCGCCCCCCCCAAAAAAAAATGAAATAAAAAAAATATCAGATCAAATGGTCCACGGATTATTTTTTTGATTCTTTTCATAAGACAATTTTGTGTGAGCATTTGTATATTCATAAATTACCATGAAACTATGTTTTCCTTCGTAATTTCTTCCTTTGATTGACTAAAACAGATCTTTTCTTTTTTCAGCAACGAAAAAGTTTCGCCTTTTTTGTAATAGTTCGGAAATCATCGTATCCCTTTCTTTGTTTTATGTGTACTTGCAGAGATGTTCCGAAAAAGTCCGGGAAAATATTACTTCCCTTTAACAAAAGTTCGGGAAAAAGTAACTTCCCCTGAATATAAACAGTAAACTTCCGGGCACGTAAATTTGAATTTAGTGAAAATAGTGAAAATCTTTTTATTATATGATTGAGATGGAGTAAAAAAGTTACGAACAGTAGCAATTTGATAAATAGAAACGACGTCTGCGATCGGACTGCGAGAAAGGCATGTTTTCCATAAAAATCGATGGGAAATCCAGGTAGGTCAATTTTATTATTTATTTATAGCACGCAAGATGGTGTCGAGTTAGTTGCCTTTTTGTTTCTTAGTGTGGATAGTAAAATGGGGGTTTGTCTCAAAGTTGGTAAAATCACTCGAAACTAGGCGAGACATGCGCAGTAGTGATAGATATGTAGTATAAATATAGAAAATTGAATATTTTAATCAACAAAAAAAAAAATTTAAAAAAAATTCTGTATCATATACCCAAGCGCCTGTGGTTAGATCGGCATTATTTATTGTGTACGGAGGGTAACGAAAACCACTAAAATACCATCGTATATGGCCGACAAGTTTTGATTAATTAGACCACTTTCCTCAAAACTGTATTTTTGTATGTTGTTTTTAGATAGTAACAGACTTGTTTCCGGAGAAAAACTTTGTGTTGCAATTAGTTGCAGATTATTCACTATATAGACTAGACTATGAAGTGTATGCATAAATATGTAAAAAACCCACACTTGATGACATTTATAAAAAAGAGAAAAACTGAAAAACTGAAAATATAATGAAATTTTCAAACATAGATTGTCCATTTATAGAATCCAGTTCAACATCTAAACCAGTCCTTACACAAAAAGACGATATTAGTTCAAATCTTTATTGCCATCTAACATAAACAAATTTGTAACAAATAAATAAAAAATGGATGCTTTCAGTAAATGAACACTCGTCAGCTCTAATGACTTATTTGTATTGGCACCTGTTTTATCAATTTGAAATAGTTTTTACGGGTTTAAAACATAGTTATTTTTTTTTATTTTATGAAAGATCAATTAAATCTTTGGGTTTAAGATATAGTTATATTTTTTATTTTATGAAAGATCAATTGAATAATAAAAGATGACCTACGAACTTCCATCAACACAATGAGCAGCAGTTACAATCCAGTTGTTGTCTATGATAGACCCGCCACAAATATGGTACCAGCCTGAACCGCTTCTCATCTGCATTGACACTTGCCAGGGGTAGGTAGTGATGTCTGCGTCACTCCCTCCAACGATTTTACTACTAAACCCATCAACATCCGTAATCTCACTCTAAAAATGAAAGATTTAATCAAGTATTCGAGGGACTTGCCTTAATTTTGCATTGTTAGGATTCCATACATCGTTTTAATTTTCTTTGACGCGTCAAAGCGTTTTTGCTACCACATTCTTTCAACTTTCATCCTCGAGCTTTCATCAAATCAATGAAAATTTGGGAATTTGAGTGGTAATAGATTCCCAAGAAATAATTGGAGCACTTATGCAAAAACAGTTAGAATTTAAACTAGGTTGGAAAATCATGTGTTGAAAATGTCATTATGTTTTTGTATCATAGAACTAATGAAAGGATTCAAGTATAGACGTATTTACACTTGTATGCAAATTTGTCCGCCATTACGTAAAATCGCACAGGTTCCCGTAAACTTTGACATCATAATTCAAAACATTTGACGTCACAATTAAAAAGTGATTGTTGCCTGACGTCAAAAGATGATTCGGTGTAGATCTAAGGTCATTCGGAGGCAAAATATAGCTAAATACCAAAAGTGTAAATACGTTTATTATGTAACGACGTCAGGATATTTGGACTTGTGGTATCGTATAATATCGTTTTATCGGTCGTCCCTCTGTCTGTATCACTCAGCTCTAAAATCAAATTGCATATCACGGCTTTGTGACGTCAAATACGTTGACCCGGCCTTAATAACTTTGACCCGGACATATCACCGACGTCATAATATATGAACCGGCGTTGATAAGTTTGACCCGGTTTGCTGGTGAAACAAAGAAAACACTCGTTTCTATCATGCAAAATACGCAAATACAACCCGATAAATGTATTAACTGGTTGTCTGCATATTTATATTGTAAAATATCAACTGCTCGACACAATATGAAGCCTTTTTGTTCTCGTTCGCTGCGCTCACTCCACAAAAAGCTTTATATTGTGACTCGCAGCTGATATTTTACGATATCAATATGCAGACAACCTGATAATCGGTACCTACCAGGCGTTATAACGATGACAGCTTCCGAAACGTATTAGGGAAGCACTCACATCTATCGATGATATCTTTTTCAGTATGCAGATGAATGATTGGTTGTTATTTGCTTAACATCTCGTGATATTTAATATGCAGATTACTATATTTATAGATTATTGATGATGGTTTTTCAAACGAGAGGGTGTTTCTCAGCTACAATCTCATCGAAGGGTGACCGCCCTGAGATGAGATGTGGCTGAGAAACATCCTCGAGTTTGAAAGACCATAATCTGTTTATCGCTATTTTGCCTATGAGGTCGTTCATGTTTACATTGACAACGTCTTCTGACGATAATTTTCTGTCTCAAGATATGAAAAATTATCATCTAAAAAAGATGAAAGGAAAAATGCACAAAATAGCGATAACATAAAATATCAGCTACTCGACTCGACACAATATAAACAAGGTTTACATAGTGGTTGCTTATTGGTCTTTAAAATTGATTCAATGTCGTCAAAGAACGAAGACTGATCTTTGACGGTAACGTTAGGTTCTAAATCAGCTAAAATTCATATGATTTTTTTACAGTTGTTCAGTCATTGGAATTACATTATAAATTTCAACTTACCGAAAAGGAAAATATTTCTTTAATTAATTCTCGACCTGGTTGCATTATTTTCTGTGTACATACTGGAAATAAATCGACGTATTACAAAACATTTATACTAGTACATGTACAAAGTGTATTAACAGCTGATATGTAATTCACAAATAAAAACACGGAAATTTTTATAGTTCAGGGGTGTAGGAGCCACCTCCTTACTCCCGGCCCAACACTTTTGCCCCAAAAATATCTATTGAAAATAAAAAAGGAAAAGGAAAATGGATGACTTTTAGACTATAGAAAAGATTCTTTTTTCTTTTGTTTTTGTTTTTCTTTTCAGAAGTTTGACACCACCACCCTTCAGTCTACTTCTACGCCACTGTCATATAAGTTACAATTGAAAGTAAATTATAATTTATGTTAAAATATTGCAAATCGGACAATTCGAAAAAAAATGATTATTTTATTGCAAATTGAAAAAAAAAACATAAAATCACAGTAAAAAGGGATTTTTTGACACGTCAGACTCTCAAAAGACGACGTTTGCCCCTCCCACTTTCCAGTCTACCTCATCGTCATTTGTAATTATTGCACAATACATTCAGTATAATTCATGTTAAAGTGTTGTAAATCGGACAATTTGAACACCATAAATATTTTGCAAATTGACAAAAAACTTATAGAATCACTGTAGAGAAGGGTTTTTTGACACGTTTGATTCTCAAAAGACAACTTTTATTTACGACGTATGTCTCTCCACTCCCTAATATATGTTTTCTCTAATATAAATTATACTAACCTGCAAAGCCAAATGTGAGAAAAAGAACAAAAGTCTTCATATCTTGTGTTTTTACGCGATGTCTCAAAGGGTATCCGACGTCTGTTGCTATTTGTTGAACCTCTGACCATTTTCCATTTTATACCTTAGTCCATAACTGACCATATGTGTTATTCCAGCGATAAACGTGATACTTGAGGAACAAACGGTCACTGTGAAGTGATTTAACAAGGTCAAAATTGTCAAATTCGTGACCTTTGCCAGTTTTACTATGTCCAGTGACAGTACTTGCCCTGTTTACGTTATAAAACAAACTTAGGATTAGTTTTAAGAATCAACACAGCTAGTCAATTTTTATAGAAACTTGATTTCAAAAAGAGATGATTTATTCGAAGGCCTACGAGCAGTTTATTATTTGTGACTAGAAAAGTAAAGCAATTCTCTATCGTTTTCGATTCTGGTACAATTTAAGTTTTAACACAAACTCTTATATTTGGTATATATGTCACACTCAACGACTTTGTTGCTGTCGAAACACTTTTTTGGATTTCCGTGTACTAGAACCCCCCATCGCAAAAGTTACAACAGTTGAGAGAATGATAAATACATCGACATGCCCTATATAACAAAACTGTACTTAAAGAAATGGGATAAAACGTTTCGACTAACTTTGCCTATCGGAACTTGATATTCAGTTTTTTTATGGTATAAAAAGTCACATTATGTTAATTTGCAGGAATCATATATAAATTTAAGTATAATCTAATCAATTGTTAGATGGGAGAGGGTTAATTGTCTCCCCTTACTCACTGTGAGACAAAATGATGTATACATTCATTAATTTTCATGTAAAAACCAATTATTTTCTATCCATCTTGCAGGAGAAAATTTTATATAGGCTGAGCCTTTATCCAATCCCTTTGTTTAAATATTGTTGTTCGCAGTAAGAACGATAACTCTGGTCAACGAGACTACCACAAATTAAGTTACAATTCAATAGCAGTGGCAGCGAAACACGCAGTTTAAAAAAACTAGATATATCAAGTTTGTTGCATGCAAGGGGGATAAGAAAACAATAGTGAGAGGACTGCTTCTAATGTTAGATTGTTAAACACGTTAAATAAAGGAAATTCAACTGAACGATAAAAAAAAAGAATAAATTGAAAATACCTGTAACATATACGGTAATAAAGTAGGTCATCCATGACCAAGATCATTGTGAAGGTCTGTTCGATACAATATTCCATGATAATAGTCCTATAATTCTATGAATTAAGATATTAAAAAAAAACGTTAATGGCCTTAGCCACATTTGGCACAACTGTGTTTGTTTTAAACGCTTTTTAATCCCAGTTGTTATAGTTTTCCATCTGTTTTGATTCGAGCGCCACTGTTGAGTCTAGTGTTGACAGAACAAAGTCTGACATATAAAAATCATCAATGATAGCTTATTTTTTACAGCTACTTGATCGATATCGCTGTGGATCTTTCGTCTCCATAGCTTTCATAAGTTCAGAAATTTTCCGTACCGACAAGAAATACTAGTATCATTGGTGCTGTCATTTTCTGCAACGTTACTGTTCATTAAATAACAATTCATTCAAATACATATTTACTACCCAAGCTAGATAATGCCGGAGCCTGGTTTGGCACAATCTTTTGGATAATTTGGGTTTGCGTCTGCTTTAGCTTCAAGTGACAAGGACTTTCCAACTGGCTTGATTCGAGCGTCACTAATTTTTCTTACAGCCGTAGACGAAACGCGCGTTTTAAATTACTAAGTATACAGTTATAGGACAAACGCCAAATTTCATCCTAAAATTTAGGAGATATCAAGTTGCACAATTTATTGATGTTAATTAATCCATTCAACATATTACAACCTCTTATCAGACTCCCTGCTGGTAGAGATTAGAAAGTCAGATGAATGGGTATGAAACTTTTATCTGTGACCATGGTAATCAGACCACTGACCACAGAGACAAATGTATAATTCAGAATTTGTAGAAGAACACTATTTTATAGGACCGTTAGGAGTACCTACATCTGAATATGACCTTGTTTAAGTCTTGAATTTAAATTATTGGAAAATATTTTGTATTTACATCGTTATCTAAAAAATAATTCAAAATTTGCTCAGGGTTCAATCTCTTGATTATGTAGAAGCTTCAGTCAAAGTTTTGTAAAATTCCATGAAGGTTTGGCAAAATTATTCAAAATCTTTCACAACAGACTATACCTAAAAAGTTGACTGCCAACAAACAATTTATTTGTAAATTACGAAAGAATGGGTGGAAAATTCAAAATTTTAATCTACATGTCAGGTATTTATTGATTATAAAGAATCTTCTTTAAAAGTTTCCTTAAAATGAAGGTTTGAGAAAGGTTATTGATATTTTGTTAACTTTAACCCTAAACTGTATCTAAATGTTTATTAAACAAAAATAACTCTAATCATCAGCAAAATACAGAAAAGTTAAAATAAAAAAAAAAAATTCTTAAGTTGCCATTTTTTGGTCATGATGAAAATTCTGTCCCTGTTCATAAAATTCCATAAAGTTATCGATATTTGGAAACTTTAACCCAAGACTAAATCTAAATATTTACTTCAAAAAAGCCTTTTATCAGTAAAATAAGGAAAATTGATACAAATATTTTAAATTTTACTCTTGATCTTGAAGAACCTAACTTATAATATCATTCAATGATGCTTCGACAAAATTATAGATGTCTAAGAAAAACTAAAACTTCTGACTGTATCTAAATAAACTCATCATAAATACCAGGCATCACATTTTGAACGTCTGACACACGTTTAGTCCACAAAAGACTGACCAGTGACGCTCGAATCAAAAAAGTTGAAAGGCCAAAATAAAGTACGAAGATGAAAGAGTATTGGAGACCCAAAATTCCAAAAGATTTTGCAAAATACAGCTAAGGTGATAATCTATTCCTGAAATAAAAAATCCTTAGTATTTAGAAAAATTCTAAGTTTTGTAAAGAGTTAATTTATAAAAACATTAGTGCAAAAAAAACTTATCACAGTAAAATATTGAAAAAAGAAAAAAAATTCTCTTGATGCTGTCATTGTATAGAAGCGTCTGTCAGTTAAATAAATTATGTGAAGGTTTAACACAAATGTTGACGTTATAAAAAAAAATAACCAAAGAATGAATCTAAATGTTGATGACACGACTATTTAAGGATTAGTTTAGTTTCAAAACAATATTTTATTTTTCAAAAGTGCTCAAATTATAATTATACAATAGAAATACAGGGATTTGGAAACAAGATGAACTTACATTAATCCGTTCCCCATTGTTATGTCTAGCTTTGGCGACTTTAGTTGCAGGCTAGACAAATAGTTAATTGTAAAACTGGAAATATTAAAAATGTCAAGATTTTGTTTTTGGTGAAAGACATATTTGCAATGAATTTTGAACTACTTTATAAATTTTTAAAACTTGTGTTGGATTTTTGACACCATTATTTAGAGAAAACATTTTCAAAGTGTGCCTGTGGTACGAGAACATCAAATTTCATTCCAGTCATGCCAGTATACAAAAAATATTTTACAAAATCAGTCATTTCTTATTCATATTTATATTGTAGATTTAGTTATACGCTTAAATATAAAAATAAAATACTAAACACAAATACTCAGTTTTCAAATGCGAATGTTTGCATTGCCTTGTATTAATTTAAAAAAGGGGGGTCTTGTGTATATAAAATTCAAAAGTCAGAAGAGTTTGCTACTAGCTGATTCTGATAACAATCTATTATTATGTACTGTTCCATGGTACACATGTGGTCATTTCTGGTCAGTCATCTAAAATATTGTGGTAATCAGAAGATTCCATGCTGTGAAGACAAATAAACAAGTGTTTGAATAAATGATTTATCAATAAGCTGTTAATTGGTTAATGTTCTGGCTATTTTGCTGAAGAAACTAAAAATCTGGCGTTTGTCCTATAACTGTATAAGAATGTTATCAACGATGACTTTTAAGACATATTCATAAATATATTGGCAGCTAAAACAATGAGGATGGCGAACCAAAACAAAAAAAAATGTCGCAAACATCAGTTAAAAACAACTGTCATATACTTCCGAATAGAACAAGTAACACCATGCAGTATACACACAAGTGTCATATACTTCCGAATAGAACAAGTAACACCAGTATACACACAACTGTCATATACTTCCGAATAGAACAAGTAATACCAGTATACACACAACTGTCATATACTTCCGAATAGAACAAGTAACACCAGTATACACACAACTGTCATATACTTCCGAATAGAACAAGTTATACCAGTATACACACAACAAGTAACACCAGTATACACACAACTGTCATATACTTCCGAATAGAACAAGTAATACCAGTATACACACAACTGTCATATACTTCCGAATAGAACAAGTAACACCAGTATACACACAACTGTCATATACTTCCGAATAGAACAAGTAATACCAGTATACACACAACTGTCATATACTTCCGAATAGAACAAGTAACACCAGTATACACACAACTGTCATATACTTCCGAATAGAACAAGTAATACCAGTATACACACAACTGTCATATACTTCCGAATAGAACAAGTAACACCAGTATACACACAACTGTCATATTTTTCCGAATAGAACAAGTTATACCAGTATACACACAACAAGTAACACCAGTATACACACAACAAGTAATACCAGTATACACACAACTTTAATATACTTCCGAATAGAACAAGTAATACCAGTATACAAACAACTGTCATATACTAACGAATAGAACAAGTAATACCAGTATACACACAACTGTCATATACTTCCGAATAGAACAAGTAACACCAGTATACACACAACTGTCATATACTTCCGAATAGAACAAGTTATACCAGTATACACACAACAAGTAACACCAGTATACACACAACTGTCATATACTTCCGAATAGAACAAGTAATACCAGTATACACACAACTGTCATATACTTCCGAATAGAACAAGTAACACCAGTATACACACAACTGTCATATACTTCCGAATAGAACAAGTAATACCAGTATACACACAACTGTCATATACTTCCGAATAGAACAATTAACACCAGTATACACACAACTGTCATATATTTCTGAATAGAACAAGTTATACCAGTATACACACAACAAGTAACACCAGTATACACACAACAAGTAATACCAGTATACACACAACTTTCATATACTTCCGAATAGAACAAGTAATACCAGTATACAAACAACTGTCATATACTAACGAATAGAACAAGTAATACCAGTATACAAACAACTGTCATATACTTCCGAATAGAACAAATGTATGATGTCTAATATGACTACAGATGGCGCGGTGTGAATCAGACTACAAATGGCGCGGTGTGAATAGGACTACAGATGGCGCTGTGTGAATATGACAACAGATGGCGCGGTGTGTTTACACAATTATGTTCGGTCTTCTTATAACAAAACCACTTAATCCCTCCGTAACGTGTTAATTTCCCGGGTTGAAATACAGAAAGGTTTTTTTTGGTAGCAATGAGGTTTATCTTTCGCACATTGCAAAAATGATGAATAGAATAAAAAAACATGGGTATACATCTAATGGAATTTCATAATCAGAAGTGCACAAGGCTACGTTATATGCAATCATAAAGCATTGTATACAAGGTATGAACAATACTGGGTTTATTCTTATCAAAAATCTTAGTACTAATTTAGTCCTTTTAGACAAATGTTTACTGTTTGTTCATTTTTTATTCTGTCACAGCGCTATTCTATGTTAGGGATAGGATTGAACATTCACAAGACATTACAAGACATGACAAGGCAATCTATTTAGAACTTAAGCACACATAAAGTGCTTCAAGGAATGACAATTATACATTAAAAAATACATAATTATACATTTGCAAGCACACGGTAGGTATAGTGTACAGCTGGGATCGTGTTTTTTTCCCGAGTATTTTGATCGGGTTTTTTTTCGGGTGTCGAGTGAATATGATCTAGATGTAACAAGCCTACTTCCTTTCTGATAAAACACGTAAAGGATTGCATGCTTGAACTAGATATACAAGATCATACAATTTAAGTTAGCTTTTGTGATAAAATAGATATTATCAACCATTCTACATTATATTGTGTTCTAAAAATATATTTTAGCCTTAAAATATACCGCTTCCGTGTGCGGGATTTTTTCGCTGTGTTGAAGACCCATTGGTGGCCTTCGGCTGTTTTCTGCTCTTTGGTCGGATTGTTGTCTTTTTGACACATTCCCCATTTCCATTCTCAATTCTATTTAATCCACAATATAGAATAGAGACCTTTTTATACACATAGATAATGCAAGATATTTTTATTCCAATTAAAGGGCACACGACTGAAGAGCATGAAAAATAATGAAGAACTTTTGAAAACACAAAGCAATTACATAAAACGAGATTGTTAACGCTGTATTTGCATATTTCATAGAAAGCATCGTTCATTTGTATACATATTGTCGTTTATCGCATCTAATAAATTGCATGGACTGATATATATATATATATACGTATGTTTGGATACGAAAACGTAATTTTAACATGTCAAGATTCTCGTGACTTCATGTATTTCCAATGCATAAAGTATAACTGGAGAGACAATACAATCTAGAAGTAAAAATTGCAGATTGACATTAGTAATTCGTAGTATAATGCATACAGCGCTTTTCGTGATTATTCAGATAATTTTTGTGTTAAAATATTAAAATTATATATTTTATTAATAATCACAGATAATCATAACATTCTGTAATCTCTATCACGTCATCCATTAGAGCAAGTAAATCTTTAATTTCTCTTAAAGTTCCCCTTTCGACAACTAAAACGTTCGTTTTATCCTTGTAACTAGTCATCTGATTCTTGCAATAAAATTTTATCACCAGCATAAAATAGTCAAGATATTCTAAAATCCATGCAAAGTTCAACAAGACAATATTTATTTACTTGTTTATATCGTTCTGTATAAAGCATCTTTCTAAATCATTAATGGAAAGAGTAACTAAAAAGGATGCCAGCCATGATTAACCCAGTAACATTCTTAAAACGCCACCCCCAAGCAATTATATATATGTTAACCAACTATTTTTCGCTAGCGATTTATTTTCGCGACTTTCGTGAGTAAAACAATAACGCGAATATCAATCGCCGCGAATATGTAAAAATAGGGTCTTTCCTTATTTAACTACATCAAGTACTGTAAATTCAGAAATTATTGCGAGGTTTGAAAATCGCGAAATTAAATTGTCGCGTAGTGGACTAGAATGGGCTAAACGCGAAATAAAGTATCCGCGAAAATAAGTTGGTTTACAGTATGTTAAAACGTGAAATCTCTGATAATGGGTTATCCCATCAACAGAGGTAGGGCTAATTTCCCTTTGATTTGTTTCAAGCAAGAAGGGCAATATTCAAAAAGTTTTTTTCAATATTTACAATATTATAAAGATGATGTGTGTACATTTAACAATATTATGATTTATTTCTAAAAAGATGAAAACCAAATTATAAAAATCTGAAGATAGCTACATACTATTGTTTTAGCAAATTTTAGCAAATTTTGAGTATTAAAAAGATGGATAAAAAAGGACTTTCTATACCAAATATGAATTCTACAGGAAGTAAAGTTATACATATTATCTTTCCTCTTCAAATTAAGACATATTTGTTAAACCCGTCCTCAGATGCAACATTTTATCAAATCATTCAAAATTTGCAGTTTCACTGTTCATAAATCAAATCAAATCATTTTATTGATGTAAAATCCAAATATTGGGTTGTTACCAAGACAAACATGACAATATTCACAAACATACAATATAAATTTAAGCACCATTCATTTATATTAGTACCTCGTATATTTATATATTTTGGAGGAGGTGATACTTTTGCAAATTTGAAAGTAAAAGTACAATATTCTTAATGCTATTGTTATAAAATATAACATAACAAATATATATGAAAAATAGAAAATAATCACAAATTTGTATTGCATAATTAGTTTCTTGTCAGCAAGGCGATTTCTTAGTACACATAAATCATTAACCCCCTTAACAATAATTTTAGTTATGTCATACTCATTAAATGTAAACATAAATGTAAATTTTTCCTCATCAGACATTTTGTTGAAAGATTGAACTATACTCTCTAATCCCGAAAAAGTTTTTGCCTACGTTTTTCTAATATTTGAAATTTTAAAGCAAAATCATATTCATACCACATTCTACATCAATCTTATAAGTGGGATAGTCATAAGTATCACAAGAAAGTGAACCAGAAAAAATAGTGAAACAAATAGCAACATTACGGAATGTCATAGATAATATAACGAAGTCAAGTCAACTATCGGCAGCAATTCACCTACAATCCTATAACACAATGGTAATAGTCGTGACTTGAATCCAATAAATATGATTTGGCGGGAATATCATCGAACATCATCGTCTGTAATTCACATTTCACTTGATTCCAACGTTATATTCAGTGGCACGTGTCACGCAATTCTAATGACATTGTGTATGGAATTGTGGCTGTAAAAATCTTTGTTGAGTCAAAACACAGTTTCACTCTTTTCAAAATAATATTATTTATTCAATATTATCTTAATCTTTTCCATATCCACTGTTGATTTACAGATCCTACGCACTGCTGCAAATTTACTTCTGTTTTATTAATTATTGTTAAACAAAGCTTACTAATCCTGTGTCGAATTGTATTATCCTGAAAAATAAGAAAAAAACCCTTACCTTACTTTTTCAGTGCTCGTTATTGACAAATGTGTTGAATACTTTGTGTTCCTCTTGAATTTAATCGTAATGTTTTGGAAAACTTTTTTGTCACATTAAAAAAGTTTAAACTGTTAACGGAACTCATATCGCTTTACGGAAAAAGTATGGTTACGTTCAAAAGGATTTGAATTAAATATCTAATAAGTGCAAAGTCAGATCTTTCTACTTCAGAATGTTTTGAATCCTCCTTTTTTTTCTTATAAAAGACAAAAGTATTTAACTTCAAAAGAAGGGCATATTTTCAAATCAGAAGAACCTGATTTTGTACTTCCGAACTTCCGGTAACCAGTGCGCTCTTATATAATAAAAAGTTTGTTTTCTGCACAAATCAAGACAAGGAGTTTTTCTAACATGAAATGACTATAGATCTAATTCGATTTGAATTTTAGACATGAGAATTAAAAATGCATGAAATAACTGAATTTTGACATAAAATGGGGCATTATAACTTCCATCAAATATTTCGATGAGATTGTTAAATTATTTGCATTTTTTGTCTCAGTCGTCATTGTACTCATGCACAACTCTGGCAAAGAGTTACGTTTGGACTAGTGACGTCAGAAACTGTTTTTAATTTGTTTGAAAAGTTCAATAACACTTAATGTGTTTGTCTGAAACAGTTGCAAAGAGAACGGACACATTTTCTATGCGCCAACATGTATATCATCACAATTAACTCTATGTCTAAATATTTGTATCAAAGTATCACAAAATTAAATAAAAAAAATGATTGACAAAAAACATCTTACACCTACCGATCTGTAATCCCACTTTCTGTGATGTTCAAAGTCACATTCTTCTATTATTAGATGACTGACACTATCAACAGCAAGACAGAATACCGAGTGACGGATTTCAAAATTAGCAGACAATTCCCAATACTAAAAAAATCGAATTGAGCATTTCTTAGTTTAACTGTAGACCACAACAAAATACGGCGATCATTAATACAAGCATGATACATCCTACATATGTGAGGGGGGGGGGGGGGGGGGGGGGGGGGGGGGTAGGAGGGGTCCTGATCCCGAAATCCCGGGCTTAAAAACATGGAATCCCGAGGTCCCGATTTTAAAAAATTTAAATCCCGACATCCCGAAATTCGAAAAAAGAATTCCCGGATCCCGAAAGGATCAATCCCAAAATCCCGAGCTTAAAAACACCCGATCTCGGAGTCCTGATAAAGGTCCTACCCCCCCCCCCCCCCCCCCCCCCCTATATGTGTTTCTACTTATTCTATATAGAGGATCATCATTTGACTTTTATTAAGACTGTTTATATATATATATATGTATTATGCGGTTAATATTGGAAAATTACCACCAAAACCTGGGGGTGATAATTTCAGGTGCCCCGAATAGGTATGCAGATTCAGCTCCACATGTGGCACCGTCGAGTTGCACATGTAGGTACAAATCCGACGAAAAGTTTGATTCGGGAGGTCACATTCGTGGAAAGGATGACGGGACTATGGTTTCGACAATTGGAACATATCCGTCGTCATCTGTGAAACAGATAATACAGAACGTCAACCAACTCTTGATGGCGTTCGTAAAATTTTCGAATAGATGATTTGAATTTCACCATTTGGAGCTCTTGGTTCAAAAGCAAACCTCCAATAAGGAAATCATAATAGGAAATGCAAGTTCTTAAATATCATATCGCCTGGGAGATATATACTACATACGAAGGTCCCCAAGTTCGTCTATATAGTGGAACATGAAGTATCTTGCATTAAATTCATATACCAAAGATCATATCAAATGTTGTTTACTAAAACCTTTCATTTCAGTTTGGTCTTAGGATTCTAGCAATGGTAAAGTCAGATATGCGACTTAATTGTAGAATCACATCAGTCATGGTCATTTTCGAGTGTTTTTTCTGAGAGGCACAAGTCCTTCGTTGTTTATATTTAGTGACTCCCTAAAGTATCTGTATAACTAATTCATTAAAACAGCGTCCCCATTCGCCCACCAGACAACATAAGAAAATGTAAATTTTGAGAGTGGCTTATGCGCATGATGTCACCCACTCGAATGCGCCCATGCAAGTCATTATCAAAATTTGCCCATGACAACACAAGTTTGTGTAACACACTTGTAAGACATACAAAATACTAACAAATGATAGCGATCCGTGACACATATTTCTTGGATAACATATATACTTAGTGCCAATATTAACGCCATAGTTGATATCACCAGCACGTGTAGCCCGTCGTCTCCACAATAATTGATAAATGATCGACGTTCAATAAATCCTTAACCAGCCTTTTATGTACCTGGTTGGTTTCACTCCACTCTTCCTAAATTACGGGTCAAAATAACAACTGCTAAAGCTTTATGAAAATTAATCATTTCGAAAAACAATCAGAGGAAAAGGTGTTTAAGCTCAGAACTATACTTCTTTTTATTCGGAAAAGGCTGATAATTATGATTGTTTTGACTTCAAATATAGGTCAAATGTATAATATGAAGATCAAAATTGCAATATCAAAGAAAGGAAAAAGTTGACAGAAATAATTATATAGACAAGTTTCTTGCGTCTGAAGCCTTTTCTGGATTTTCCTTAAATCAGGAACGCTCAAAGCCAAATATTTGAAACATTCACAAAAATCAGCATTTTATAATTTTTGATGATTTTCTAGTGTAGTGTGTTTGTTATGTTAGTACCCAATCGAGACGTCTGAAGAAGACAATAACTTGTATACAATGAACACAGAAACTACTTGGATATCGTAAAAATACTAATTCATTCATCTCGGATTCTCGCGCGTTGTTTTACGGTCAACTATTAGTTTGTGTTTTCAATCGACACGAGCGATATGGAGGGATTTACACAATGTCCCGTTGTTGAAAAGCCTTTATTGAGATAAGTTAATTACCTGATTCCCACTTTGATAGTGACATTCAAGTAAAGAAACTGAAGACATGGTAGAAGCATCCAAACAGACGGTAGATATGTTCTGTAAAACTGGTTTGATCTAGAAAACAAAGAAACTCATGTTTACAGATCCTCCTAACCTTTGAGTGCCATATTCTGTGCTTTGAATATTTTTGTATGGGTTTGTCTTTAACACTTCATTTGACAATTCATCAAGATTTTTTGTTGACGTGGTTGTTAATTGATCTTATACAATTAAAGTTGAATTAGATATTTGCTACAAGTGAAATCATATACATCTGTCAACCAAATTTACTGTATTTGGACAATTCTATATAGAAGGTTACAATAAAGTCATCATGGATACCAGGCTTGAAAATAAGCGGTTATAAACTTTGGTGTATAAAAATCAAAGTGAAAGAACTTTTTATTCTAAAGTAAAGTTGCCTATATCTATAGCTATCTAACTTGACATACTAATTTTCCAACAAATCACATTTTATAAATGTCAATTTTTTAAAATGTTTCTGTAACCACAAAATATAATTGATCAATCTTAATTTTTTATTTGACTATTTTCAGAAATATGTATTTAGTGTGACGTCCATTTTCGACGAACTAGTACACGTTTTTGTTTAGGGGCCAGCTGAAGCCCGCCTCCGGCCTTGGGCTGTTATCTGCTCTTTGGTCGGGTTGTTGTCTCTTTGACACATTCCCCGTTTCCATTCTCAATTTTATTAATGACAGGGATAAAGATTTCTAAACTGATTTTGACATCAGAATATTATACAATAAATCAGAGAGACTGTTAGGTATGATTTTCATACAAAAATGGATAGTTGTTCTGCAATTAAATGGTATTACCGTTCCCCTAGCATGTAAGTTTTCTGGAACATAAAAATGTATCAGTTCCTTGGCGACCTCTAGATAATGTGTAAAAGGTTTACATTTGTTCCTTTTCCTGATCATTTTTCTTTCAGCCACATCACCTGCTTTATACTGTAAAAGAATGACCATTCATATAGCTAAGAATAAAGGAAAGCAGTGATGACATATCTTTTTAAATGTTTTTTTTCATATATAAGAAAGAGAGGCGAATGATATCAAAGGGACATTCAAAGTAAAAAACAAACTGACAACGCCAGGGCAAAAAACGAAAAATGACCAAAACACAAACAACGGTATAAAAACACAACATAGAAAAATGTATTATCAATTTATAGAACTAGTGATTAAAAGGTGTCATTAAGAGGGGAAGATTTTAAGTTTTCAAAATGGAAATCTTGACCCTCCTAAAAACATAAACAAAAACCAACTCCCACCCCCACGACAAAAACGAATCTTCAGTATTGGTCCTATATAAATAACCGTTTAAAATTAATTGGAAAGTCATATGTAATGATAAATTTTACCCTGCGTCTTTTTTAGTTGTAATCTCTGTCCTGCCTTTTTATTTTTCACTCTATTCGGTCCTGCCTTTTTTTTTTAAAGTTTATCCTGACTATTTTTTACATAAATTGTCATCCTGCCTTTTTTTTTGCAAACTTTAAGTGTCTCATCCTGCCTTTTTTTTTACTCAAAACTCCTGTTCTGCCTATTTTTTTTCAAATTTCATCCTAGCTCCCCCCCCCTAAATATCAAATGGTAGCTCCCTTTGTCGTGATAGTGACAGTAACAAATATAAAACCTAATTAACAGATAGAAGTATACTTAACTTAAAGTGTTGGAAGGGTATTGCCTAAAATGATTGAGGTTACTTATGTAAGCATTTTAAGTGACAGTAAGTCCAATCATTGAAGAAATGTTCAGTTCATTTACACCACCTTACCTTAAAAATACACTATACAGTTATAAAAAATAAGGAGAAACAGAATGAAAGGTAACCAAGATACAACCTACAACTGTCATACAAGTGGGGGGTGTAGCTAGCTATTAAACCAGGTTTAACCCACCATTTTCTTAGGTAAATGTCTGTATCTAGCCTGGAATATGACAGTTGTTTTTTCACTCGTTCCGTTGGTTGATAACGTTTAATTTTGTCAGCTGTAATGGACTTCCCCTTTTGAATTACCTTGGAGTTTGGTATTTTTGATATACTTTTCTACAAAAAATACCAATCGGTTTGATTTTTGTGATGTCTTATTATCAAGCACTTAGAAGTAACAAGCGGATTGATAATCAACAAAAAAAAGTGCGTAATCTATTTATACAGTAATTGCTGCAAACAAATGACGGTTCAGAACTAGCATAGTTCTTTTTTCAGTACTAATTTATTTTCATTTGTCGCCAAAATTAAAACATAAAAAAATTGGTTATTTATAATTAGTATCTACTCTATATACAATAACTTCAACTCACCGTGTAATTACCATACTGTTCGAAAACAAACTGTTTGTAATCGTCGAGCCATACTTCGGCAACTCTGTATTCATTAGATATCCTAGTATTACCCGCACGCCAAGGGACAGGTCGATATAGATGACCAATATGCGAACAGGGAATCATAAATATTCCATCTCCACATGTTATATACTACAACAATATTTGATACATCAAAAATATTCCAATTGCATTATGACATACTCACTCACAAGTTGATTGACCGTCATGGAATATCCGTTTCACAGATGACAACGGATATATTCCAATTGTCGTAACTACAATCCCGTCCCCTTTCCCCCGAATGTGACCTACCGAATTACACTTTTCACCGGGTATGTACTTACATGAGCAACACGACGGGTGCCACATGTGGAGCAAGATTGCCTATCCTTCCGGAGCACCTGAGATCACCACCAGTTCTTGGTGGGGTTCGTGTTGTTCAGTCTTTGGTTTTCTATGTTGTGTTTTGTGTACTGTTGTTTGCCTGTTTGTCTTTTTCTTTTTAAGCCATGGCATTTCATTTTCGACTGATGAGTTTGAATGTCCTTTTGGTATATATTTGTGTTTTTATTAAACTTTTTGTGAAATTCTTTTCTGTTTTGAAAAAAATATAATTATATAACACTAAAAAAAATCGGACATCGAGTATTGAGAATTAGATTGAAAGTTACCTTTATAGCCAGCTCTATTTGTTCACCGCCCCATACATATTGAGAATTAGATTGAAAGTTACCTTTATAGCCAGCTCTATTTGTTCACCGCCCCATACATATTGAGAATTAGATTGAAAGTTACCTTTATAGCCAGCTCTATTTGTTCACCGCCCCATACATATTGAGAATTATATTGAATGTTACCTTTATAGCCAGCTCTATTTGTTCACCGCCCCATACATATTGAGAACTAGATTGAAAGTTACCTTTATAGCCAGCTCTATTTGTTCACCGCCCCATACATATTGAGAATTATATTGAAAGTTACCTTTATAGCCAGCTCTATTTGTTCACCGCCCCATACATGCATTCCTGTATCCATACCACCAAGTTCTTGGAAAATTGTCTTGTTTGCAACAAAGACGTTACCTTGCACACTGGGAAGTCTAAATAATAGTATTTACTAAATAAATCACTGGTTAGTAGATTTCTACGAGATAATGTTAATAAAAGAATAAAGTCTTATAATTTCCGTGAATGTTGTCTATAGATATAAGAAGATGTGGTATGAGTGCCAATGAGACAAATCTCCATCCAAGTCAAAATTTATAAAAGTAAACCATTATAGGTCAAAGTACTATATTTGTACTTAATCAACTGCAACCCTTTTAGGATTATACGTATAAATATTTTTGGCAACTCCATATGACTACAACGTATGGGCATTTTAGTGCAGATATGACGTTTAAGATATCACTGTGACGTCATAAAATGTGATAATTGAGAATTTTAACCACAAACTACCATTTCGGATAATGGGTATGGTTTCATCTAATATGATCAACAGCCCTACTTAAACATGACAATTGTGATTTATAAAACAAGTTGATAATTGAGAATTTTGACTAAAAACTGCAATTTCGAATAAAGATCATGGTTTCATTTAATATGAACAACAGCCTTACTTAAACATGATATTTGTTTATGGCATCTAATGGCATGCTATCTGTTTTGGATAAAGCTGTTGATCATTAAAAAATATTAATATCACGATCAAAATAATAAAAATAATAATAAAAAATAAAAAAAATAAAAAAGCAATTGTTTGCAGTTTTATTTTCTGAAAAAAGCCTGATGTTTGAATACCCTGAGCAAATATTTTAGAAAAAAAAATAAATGTATAATGATGACGACGGATATGTTCAAATTGTCGTAACTCCAATCCCGTCTCACTGAATTAGACATACACCGGTTTGTTCTTACATGAGCAACACGACTGGTGCCACATGTTGAGCAGGATTCGCTCACCCTTTTGGAGCACCTTAAATCATCACCGGATTTTGGTGGGGTTCGTGTTGCCTAGTCTTCAGTTGTCTACGTTGTGTTTGTGTACTGTTGTTTGTCTTTTTTTTTCGTTTTTATTTTTGCCATGGCATTGTCAGTTTGTTTTCGACGTACTAGTTTGAATATCCCATTGGTATCTTTCACTTATTCTTTTTATTGGTATTCGATATATTAATTATATTTAGTGAACATCTGAAGGTTGTTATGTCATACATTTATTATAGTTTGTATAAGTAACAAATCAGTTAGCTTTTTTCATGAAGGAACATGTGTGCTGCTACTAGGAAAATCAAAAGTTTGTCCTGAATTGATACTTGATACAATAACAGAACCATAAGCTTTCTGGTAAAAATTTCAAAACGTTTTTCTGTAACTGTTACATTTAAAAAGTCATATCAAATAAAAGAATAACTGACCCAACTACGTAAAGTTATTTCTATCTGCATTTACAAACAAATTAAATAAACTGTTGTTTAAAAATCTTAAAACGGCGAATCAAATTCGCCTAATAGACAAAATATATATAATACCTGATAGGAGAAACTTCAAAATTTTCTCTACTTAAGAGGTATTCTCTCTTAAATGGCATAATTGTTTGCATTAAACGCCAATCAAATGAAAACGCGATAGGTTTTTTCTTCAGATCTAGTTCAGTCTTTTTATACTGAAAGGTGTTCATGTCAATTCCATCTACTACTGGAACTACAAGAGCACGGGGTGTTTCCTTTAGCTGTTGCAGCAATGGTTCTAGCCAAACTGCAAAGATGAAATGCAATTATGTATAAATTTTCTGATTTACCAAATGTTGACAGATTATTATTGTGGAATTTCGTTTACTAAAATTGACTTCGTTCATTGATTATATTTTTTCAACATTAATGGCCTGCAAACGTGTCACATCGTTAGATTGTTTTTTTTTCAATAAACCTTGAAAATTATTAAAATACCATAATGTTATATAATTGAAATATAAAATCATGAATTTTTCGATATTTCTAACATGTTTGGTGCGCTGGTTTTATCGACTATATCATGGGAGTCCCGAAACTGACTATAGAAGTTGAATAATTGCATTACAGAACATACAAGTATATATCAAAAGCAAAAATAGTGTTAACAACATATACATATCTTATTCATAGGAAGTCAGTAATACAAATTGATCACCCAGAATGATGACATTCAAATTTAAAAATCTTTATAATGAACGGTATCAACAAAATATCGATGATAATTGTAAAGTCATAACAGCTTTTAATTGATATCTTCAAAAATTACTTGCTAAATTTCAGATATAATGACATTTCATTTTAAAACTAGAAACAAAAGAGACAGAAAAGTCTAACGACACCCTTCCGCACTCCAACACTTAAACTGCTTATGGGAAATTGACATATTTTCTCAAGTACCACTTCATATTTAGAACTATAAACTATAAATAAAAAATTCTGACAAAGTTTTTTCCGGTCAGGAAATGCCTCTAGAAAGGGTTGCAATGTAAGATATGGAGACAAGTTTGATTTTTCCCTAAAGATTTGTCGATGGTGTCTTATTGTTTTTTGAATAAAATCGCCCATTAATCAAGCACGATGGTGCGGACAGAGAGACTCATAAGTTATAGACATTTTTAGAATAAAAAAAGAAGAGAAAAACAGTAAAATAGAGTACAAAACGAAAAACATCAAAACCGTATATTACATAAATGTTGAATAATTTATTTCATTTAATGATGAAAAGATACGTAACGATCTACTTCAAAATCCTCAATCACGATCTTTACAATTTTGCAGTAATATTAAAGCTTTGAATTTTTCAACGCTCTTCACTTTTATTCCCATTGCCAAATTGAAATATCGACCACATCTTCTCATTGAACAGTGCTTTTTTCCTACAAAATTGGGTATCACAGATACATAATCCTTTGTATTTAGTCATGGAAAATCTTACTTTGCGAAGAACCAATTTGATTCCAATAACAAATACTCATCAAAATGCAGGACGTTTTGATCGACACTTATTTGTTGAGCTTGCTGGAAAAATATTTCAACAAAGAACCTGTATTCCAATCAGTACTAATTGTGCACTCTTACTGGCCTACTTGTTTTGTACTAATATGACGCAGAATTGATAAGGAACCTTCTCAATGACAACAAAGAAAAGCATCTTGCAAAGTTCTTTAAGTTCACTTTCAGATATATTAATAATGTCCTGTCACTCAATAACCTACATTTATGTAAGTGCTTGAACCTCATATATCCCAGTGAACTTGAGATTAAAACACTACCGAGACGAGAAGGTTTACTTCATATATCGAACTTTTTCTCGATATTTACACAGATGGACGAGAGATATCTATGATGAACGTCATGATTTCAAATTTGCAATTGTCAAGTACTAATTTCGCAGCAGTAATGTACCTTCTGCCGCACCGTATGGTGTATACATGTCACAATTGATACGTTAAGCTCGTGAATATTCACACAATACAAATGTTCATTATTAGGGATGTGCTCCTGACACAAAAACCACCCCAACAGAGATATGAGAAAAAAAAGATGACTGCAATCGACTCTACATTAACTTTACGATAACCATCATAAATTAGTTGACCGAAACGATGTGTCTTTGTCCCAACACACTGAGACATGTATTCGCGGTTTACAAGAATAGTCGTGTGATCTTTAAATTTTTAGATTGCGTCCAATTCTCGATTGTGACATATTGACAATGTGGATATGCATGGCGGGTGATGTATGCATAGCTGGAGACGCTTAATTACATGTCGACGCACCGGATTCACTCAATTTGGAGTTCATGCGATTTACTCAATTTTTCGATGTGCATCTTCATAACGATTTATGAGATTCTTGATGTAATGGAGATTGTGATGCCTTTTTATTCTGTAATATCTTTGAAAATAGCTATCAGACTGCTGAAATTATGAAAAGAGCCACGGGTTCGATGGTCTGATACAGGATTTACCTCTCTTTAGTATATTCAGTCATACAATATTTAATTTAAATGTAAATGTAAAAATGTTAACTTATTTGATTGGCGTCTTTATTGGTTAAAACACAAATATGTAATAATTTGAATTCGACTACTTTACATACAACTCTAGTAAAGGAAGTCTCAATCGCACTATTTGTTTTGAAAATGATAATTCTTTCGAATTCAATCTTTTAGAAGTGTTAACATGTTATGATTCTTCATCATGTTTCTTAGTCTTGCTTCTTTTTAGTTGTAACAATGTTTTCAGTTAAAATATTTGTTTTCTTTTGCATACGAACTGCTTCTTATGTGTTTGACTGATACTCTAGAAATTTGAGAGACATTTAATTTTTACCAAACACAAATAACATTTTGCCTTATTGTTAAAAAAAAAAATAACAATCCCAAATACTTAAAAATGACTTTAATACAAAAATCCGATAGTAGTGTCATTGTTCACAATATGACATAAAATAAATTGAATTACGTCGATTTATAGATTGACGGTCATCCTAGAATCCCCTACCATGCCGTAAAAGCGACTAAAATGACATTTATGAATACCTTCTGCTACTTCCTGGTGTGAATCCATGACAACAATAACATCCTCAATCGTTTGATCAATTCCCCGTTGCCTGGCAACCATAAGACCCTTGGATTCCTCATTTCTTATAACACGTACATTGTAAAGATGTGATAAGTAAATATCAAGTTTGGTTTTCAATTCCCCTAAATAAAAATGTAAACAATTTTATTATTTATTATTGAGGCATAATGCCATTGAAATTCATAAGCACCACATTATTTTTACCGTGTTAACCTTTACTGCAGATACACATTCAATAACAAATGAACCTAGTATATTTGCTAGGAACGCGATACAAATAATAAAGTATTGTAAGCCGGCCTTTTGTTAACTATACGCTTTGCACGTGTACTCCCCTTGGATCCGCTTCTGAAGAGGACGTCGACCTATATCGTAAAAGCACTTTTCTGTTTGGTGAATTTTTCGTAATACTAACTTAAAAAGGATTTTCTACCACAGGAATATATTACCTTAGCTGTAATTGGCAAAATCTTTTGGAATTTTGGGTCCTCAATACTATCTAACTCCATATTTTATTTGGCCATTTTAAACTTTTTTGATTCGAGCGTCATTGAGTTTATTCATATTTAAGCTAGTGAAAGCAACTAGTACAGGAGATTTCGTTGTATCGAACTCGGTGTTATCGAAAACTCGAATAAGTGGAGGTATTTTGTCAGTCCCGGTAAAATCCCTATTAGTTCAATGCATTTTTACCTCTGATGAGTGCCCTTGAAGGAAAATTAACCCCATTTGTGTCGAAGTTCGAAGTAAAAGATGATTTTGATTTTTGGTGTTTTAACGGCCCTTTTAAGCGCCGCTTTTGTGCTATTTCGTGGTGGTCAGTTTTTATTGGTGGAGGAAGCCGGAGTGCCCGGGGAAAACCACCGAACTTCGATAGGAAAACTGACAATCGAAGTAAAAGAAAATAGAAGGAAAAGAAAACATGTAAAAATCTTTGGACTCTTTTTTTAATTCAGTAATGAACATAGTTGATATACGTATTCAACATTTTAAAGAACATTTTACTCTTAACAATAACCACAATAAACCTATTTCTCGTATCAAACATAAACTAAAAGAACTAGCCAAGGAATTTGTTTTTGTCCCGGCCGATAAAGCTGCTAATAATATTATTATTGTTTGACGTAAATTTTACATTGAGGTTCTGAAAAAAGAAATCACCAATTCACCAACATTCCAACTGACTCCATTTTCAGAAAACGACATCTGTAACAAACATAAACTTTTAGCTACCGCTTTACAAGCAGAACCAAATACAATGAAAGTCCCAACTATGTATTGGCTTCCGAAGCTACACAAAACACCTTACAAATATAGATTCATTTCGTCTTCAAGCCATTTTTCCACTACTAAATTGTCTATTCTTCTTACCAGTACACTTGGTACAATCAAAAACCTGATAATAAATTGTTCAAATAAGGCCTTCGAAAATAGTGGAATTAATTACTTTTGGAGTGTCAATAACTCGTTGGAAGTACTTGATAAATTACATGCATATATTGGTGATTTTGAATCTGTTCAAAGTTTTGATTTTTCTACCCTATATACCACATTGCCTCACATTCTCATTAAGAAAAAATTCACACACCTAATTAAATGGGCATTTAAAAAGTCAGAATGTGAATATATATGTTCAAACTCTTTTAGGTCATTTTTTAGTAGCAATAAACAAAAAAACTATGTCAATTGGACATGCTTTGATACTATATATGCCCTTGAATTTTTACTAGATAACATTTTTGTTCGCTTTGGAAATTCCGTATATCGTCAGGTTATCGGAATTCCAATGGGGACTAACTGTGCACCACTTATTGCGGACCTTTTTTTGTATTGTTTTTGATATCACAAACTAGTCAAAACATTTACTAAATGTTATCATCGGTATAAGGACATCATTCGTAAATATAGCTCAACATGCAGACTTCTTATACGTTCAGGTATTTCACATCCAATTTTTTATGGAAATATTCTTTATAAAGCACAAAAATGTCAGTATTCACCTCTGAAGCTAACAAAACCTTTAAATAGACTTATTAAGAAGGGATATAGTTACGATACTGTTGTCAGGTCATTAAAGATTGCATATTTTGGCGTTAATATTGATTCACTTATAGGGTCTTTGCATCGGCACTAAACACATTTATTTAAAAATCAGTTGTTGGCATGACACGGGTTATGTTCTTCTCATATATGTTATGATGATATGATACTAAACCCCTAACGGGAAGGATTGTGCCTGATATTCATATGATGAAGAAATAATCTTTCAATCAGATTAATTGAAGTCTGGAGCTGGCATGTCAGTTAACTGCTAGTAGTCTGTTGTTATTTATGTATTATTGTCATTTTGTTTATTTTCTTTGGTTACATCTTCTGACATCAGACTCGGACTTCTCTTGAACTGAATTTTAATGTGCGTATTGTTATGCGTTTACTTTTCTACATTGGCTAGAGGTATAGGGGGAGGGTTGAGATCTCATAAAAATGTTTAACCCCGCCGCATTTTTGCGCGTGTCCCAAGTCAGGAGCCTCTAGCCTTTGTTAGTCTTGTATTATTTTTAATTTTACTTTCTTGTGTACAATTTGGAGTTTAGTATGGCGTTCATTATCACTGAACTAGTATATATAATTGTTTAGGGGCAAGCTGAAGGACGCCTCCGGGTGCGGGAATTTCTTTTATTTCCTTAATATATTCTCGATGTACCCATTTGTTTGTATGAAAATCTGATTGGCAAGTCAAATTTTTTTGTTTGTTGACGCCTTTGATAATTGACCATGTAGAACGTGTTGGTTGTGGAACACATTTGACATGAGAAAATTTCCGAACGAATAACTTGACCAAAATGAAAAAAAAAAATCAATAAAAGATGAAAGAAAAGTTGAGATTATAATAAAACTGATAACAGTTAGATTATATGAAAAGATTAAAACTCGACCTTATCAGATAGCGACATAGTTCAAAACATACATCTACAACGATTTGTTTCGTTCCGCAAGTTCTTCCGAATTATATATTTTTATACACGTTGTGTACTCTATTCTGTCTCATTTTCATATGAAATATTGTTTAATAAAACTTGTTCTATCGATGCTAAGGCAAAGGCAAAAATAAAACACGTGTTCCGCCTGAAAATACATGGTTTATAATATGAATTACAATATTGAAGTGGGAAATGTCAGATGTAACTTGTGAACTCGGATGACTCGAACCTCGGATAAGTCGAACAGTTTTGGCCGGTCCCTTCGACTTCGACTAGTCGATGTTCGACTGTTCCAAGTCAGCAATATGACAGTTGTTTTCAATTTGTTTGGTGTATTTGAGCTTTTGATTTTGCCATTTGATAAGGGACTCCGTTTTGAATTTTCCTTGGAGTTCGGTATTTTTGTTATTTTACTTTTTATCAGTTTCTGAACTATTTATTCTGGACAAAGATATAGATAAAGACACACCCTTTTTTGAACCATCGTCTACAAGAATGATTTCTCTCAGTAGGTATGATGGCGTTCTATCTAGTATACTGTGTACAGTTCTTAGTAGAACGCTCCAACTTTCATCTCGAAAAGGTATAATAACGCTAACAGGCGGAAGTTCAAAATTGTCATATGACTTTGTGCACCTAAAAGATAAAATTACATGTAAAGAATGCCTTGTGTCATTTTGTGGAATTAAAAAGTCATGATATCTAGATTACTAAAGTAACGAGGTTCAATTTGTTAGCCGGCATGACGTAAAAACGACGAATCAGAGAATTTAACTTTATATGTAACTAATAATATAGGACAATGGTGTTGATTCAAAATTACACCATTCTAGGTCCTTTTGTTTTCCACATAATTAATATTTCCAATAATTAACAAGTTCCGGGTCGAATCCAACTATTGAAATATGGTAAAGCATGTGTTAACATAAAGCTATAGGCTAGCATGCAATGTACAACCATAGACAGGTGTTTAAACCATTATTCTAGCTCTTAATTGTCCTAAATCTAAAACGATGTGTCTTATTTATACAGAAACTACCAAATATCTGCAAAATATATAATTCTACTAGTATCCCTTTTCTTCGTTCAAATCATCATAAGTGTTGTAGACGACATTATCTTACCGACTTTAAACTTCCGTAAAAATCATTGGTTAAAAGCGAACACGTGGAAAGGGGCCTATAGAGTAGATATATTCTAAATACATGGTCAGTGGGCATGACATTCTAAAGTAATTACCTTTTGTAAACCGTATCACGTGGTAAACTTCTGTGAAAAGAGATCAGATCGCTTACGAAGACATTATATCCATGCTTGTTTTGGGATTCTTCATATTGCTTTCTTTCTTGGTTTGAGAATAAACTCAAATCTACAAGAACTGCTTGACCAAGTTCACCTAGAAAAGATAACAAACAAGAAATTTGCGCGTACCACAAAACTTTTGAGATCCTGCAGTCAGCCATTTCACTCTGTAAATACAAATGTGCAAATAAACTTAGGCGATATTCGTACACTCTAAAATACTTTTTTTTATGGTATCCTACTTTTTATATAAGCGAAATACTGTCCAAGTCAATCGTTATGAAACACAGGGACTCGGTTTGCAGATTAAAATTTTGTTTATCAATGTTTTTCAAATCTTTTTTCGTATTTCCTGTCTATTTGTATTACATTATTAACATTTTTAACGTTGGCATTCATGTCTTTAAAATTAGTATAGAATATCATCCATACGATAAAATAAACTATCATTGAAACAGGTAATAGAGGACAGCCTCTGGTATTATTTTAAGTAGAACAAATAATTTACTTTTTTTTTACATACATGTCCTCTTGAAGTTATACTGTCATTTTTAAATTAGTAAATATAAGTCAGTATGCAAATCTATTTCTACAGTTATTTTATATTCTTAAGCATTGATCAGAAGCTATGATAATATACTGAATATATTAAACAGGTACAATTTTACAAGCTTTAATACATGGGAGATAACTCCATTCATTTGAAAATTGTTGGTTGATCAAAGTTTTAAAATGTTGTGTTTTCATGTTGCATGATTTAATTATTTCTAAAATGTTGTGTTTTTCATGTTACATGATTTAATTATTTCTAAAGTACATTAAAATCATATTAAAATTGTTATTTTTGTTTTTATTATGTTTTGTGTGCCTGCAAAAGAAATTTCCTACACACCGACATAATTTATAGCAAAATTTTTTTCCTATAAAAGAAGTTCTGGCCCATCCACTATACATATTAAAAAAAGATCTTGCCCATCCAAATATTCACACCAAAAAAGTGCTTGCCCCGCCCCATCCATCTGATAAATATTGAACGGTCCCTTACGCACGAGGGATTAAATATGGTACTCCAACACCAAGTTTCCAGTCATAAATTCAAATGTCATTTTGTTCTTTTCTGTAAACGTTTTGACGTGTTAAAAAAGTCAACGAATGAATATTTTTCAACACAAACAAATATTTAATATTGCAAAAAACACCACTTAAAACGTTGTTCCACAGGTCTAGGGTAAAACAATTATTACTATCTGAAAATGAAGACACGATGTTGTAGGTAATTTTAAAGTCCTGGATTCGTGGGTCTTTTTGCAAAGATCAGTCTTATACGTTTCGTATCATAACATTAATCTTGATGTAATGCATTTATTGCATATACCATTCTTAAATTCCCCGGTGACAAATAATAAAAGAAAGTTTTGTTCCAATTCCCTCAGTCGAAGTTGACCTGATATTAATTTTGCTATTCGTTTAAGGCCCCTTTTGGTCATATTACTTCTAACGTTTCTGTTTATTGATACATCCCAGGCTTTCAAATGATTTGGTTTGAGCATTCCTAAGTAAGATAAATAAAAAAAAGAGCGTCGGACGCACGAAGTTTATATTGTTTATATATTCATTTACTAGCACTGTGTCGATACTACTACTGGTGGACTGTTAGTCCCCCAAGGATATCATCAGCTCCTTTAGTCAATGCTTCAGTACTGACTTAATTTATAAATTGCTGTTTTAAAATTCCCGTTGACATATGATTTGACCTTCCAACTGTTTTGATTTGAGCGCCGACGCTCGTCTGGCGTACCAATTATAAGGCCGGTGTCTTAGATGAGATTTTACAGTCATGAAAGCAACATGTGTTGTTCATACTGGTATGCAATGTTTGATATTACAACAACACACATATTTTTTGCAAAAAGCTTTGTATAGGATGTGTCTTTAATGTTTTTAAGGCGATTACATATTATTACAAATCCTATTAACAACTATTATGTTTATTCAGCTGTTGATTCTTTCAATTTATAACGCAAACCTGGTTGATACTAGTTAAAACTGGTTAAAACTGGTTAATGTTACTAGCTTGCATTCTGTATAACAGTGTTGTATTTAGCACAAAACAAGCACTGGGTTCTGAAATTATCTCCGCAATCCACTAAAGAAATTACTTAACCAGGACCTATATCCTCTTAGATAGATTTTTATTCCCAAACATTTACAATTAACAATAGAGTAACTTGCACGCAGTCATTGAAATAAAGATAACATGGATTCAGAATGAAGACATACTATAGTTAATCATAATTGGTCGTTGTGTGCATATTATTAATTACTGTTCACCTGGCGGACCCTTCCAGATACCAAAGACACAATGATATATGTTGATTTTTCCTATAAGAGTTAGCAATATAAAAATAAGAGGATGTGGTAAGGTTGCCAATGAGACAACTCTCCACGAGAGACCAAATGACACAGAAATTAACATCTATAGGTCACCGTAAGCCCGACTTGTATGCATTAATCTTATTAAGAAAAAAATTCACACACCTGATTAAATGGGCATTTAAAAAGTCGGAATGCGAATATATATGTTCGAACTCTTTTAGGTCATTTTTTAGTAACAACAAACAAAAGAACTATGTCAATTGGACCTGCTTTGATACTATAACTGCCCTTGATTTTTACTAGATAACATTTTTGTTCGCTATGGAGATTCCGTATATCGTCAGGTTATCGGAATTCCCATGGGAACTAACTGTGCACCACTTATTGCGGACCTGTTTCTGTATTGTTATTAGTTTCAATTCATGACTCAAATCAGCAAAGACCCATCGAAACAACATCTGATTCAAACATTTAATAACAGTTTTAGATATTAAGATGGTTATTGGGCTCTCAATAATGACGACTTCAGTATGTACACTAAAGAGATTTATCCTGCCGAACTGACTTTAAATAAAGCTAATACTAACAATGAACACTGCCCTTTCCTGGATCTTGATATCTATATATTTAACGGGAAGCTAAATACCAAAATTTATGATAAAAGAGATGATTTTTCATTTCCTATTGTTAATTATCCATTTTTAGATGGTGACGTTCCCTTGTCACCATCTTATTGTGTTTATATATCCCAACTTGTTCGATTCGCTCGTGTATGTAACAACGTATTTGATTTCAACGAAAGAAATCTCTGTATTACTGAAAAATTATAACACCAGAGTTTTTGATATCACAAACTAGTCAAAACATTTACTAAATTTTATCATCGGTACAAGGACATCATTCGTATATATAAATCAACATGCAGACATCTTATACGTTCAGGTATTTCACATCCAATATTTTATGGTAATATTCTTTACATAGCACAAAAATGTCGGCATTCACATCAAAAGCTAACCAAACCTTTAAAACAGACTTATTCGGAAGGGATATAGTTGTCAGATCATTAAGGATTGCATATTTTGGTATTAATATTGATTCACTCATAGGGTCTTTGCATCGGAAATAAACACATTTATTCTAAAACCAGTTGTTGGCATGATACGGGTTATGTTCTTCTCATATATTTTATGGTGGTATGATACTAAACCCCTAACGGGAGGAATTGTACCTGATTTTCATATGATGAAGACATAATCTTTCAATCAGTTTAATTGAGGTCTGAAGCTGGCATGTCAGTAACTGCTAGTAGTCCTTTGATAATTTATGTATCATTGTCATTTTGCTTAGTTTCTTTTGTTACCTATTCTGACATCGGACTCAGACTTCTTTTAAACTGAGTTTTACTGTTTGTATTGCTATGTGATTCTTTATTCTACATTGTCTAGATGTATAGGGGGAGGGTTGAGATCTCACAAACCATGTTTAACCCCGCCGCATTTTTGCGCCTGTCCCAAGTCAGGAGCCTCTGGCCTTTGTTAGTCTTGTTTGTTTTTTTAATTTTAGTTCCTTTATATGTTTTGGAGTTTAGTGTGACGTCCATTTTCACTGAACCAGTACACAATTTTATTTAGGGGCCAGCTGAGGACTACCTCCGGGTGCGGGATTTTCTCGCTGCGTTGAAGACCCATTGGTGGCTTTCGGCTGTTATCTGCTCTCTGGTCGGGTTGTTGTATCTTTGACATATTCCCCATTTCCATTCTCAATTTTATTATTCTGAGAATAATGCATACAGGTACAAAATGTATGAAATGTAACTGCTAACAGGAGCTTCAAGGCACGTTGAACAACAATTTATGCGAGGGGATTACTTATCATTTATTTGAATCCGTAAACACTTGAATTCCTGCTTAAAAAAATAAGTTTGCATTGTATGAAAAAAATATTTTAACTGCGAAATGCAAACAAATGAAGATTGTAATGCAATTTGATTTTAATGAAACCACAAATGCAGTCCCATTGCTTTTTAAGTTAAATTTTAAAATTTCAAGCATTCATAGCTATTTTGTCAAGTTTTAAAAGAGAGAGAGAGAGAGAGATAGTCCTATTCATATCAAATCTATACCTTTTCCTGGCTTGTACTGAAAAATTGAATATACCTTTAATTGCATTCCAGAGCAAACGGGTTTCCGAAGTTTTTTTTGGTACAAAACAGGTACTCCTGATCTGAGCAACAGGCAAAAATGCCCTCCCATCTTAAATTCATATTTTTTTTTATTATTCAAAAGACACTTTCAACATGGGTTCTACAGTGATTCAAAGTCAGTAAGATTTCAATTGATACCAAAATAGCTCAAATATTTGACTTATTTACAGTTATGTGTAGGAACTATTTTGTTAACTACTATTTGTATGTTGTTTTTAGCCGGGTCCCAATTAGTGGTTCTTTACCTTAAAGCTCACTATAAGTTTTTCAATATAAAGTTTGTAAAATTTAGTGTTATAGCTTGGATGATGTACAGCCTTGAAAATTGAAGAACGCCCAAGGAAGTATTCCACTCTTACTTGGTGAATGTGGGGTTGATTAATCTTTCCTTTGATCCTTCGAAAATAAAGATCTTGACCACAAAAGTTTGGAACTTAATTGAGCAAGAAAATGAAAATAAATATACTTGCATGCAGAATTGACCCTGAAAATGAAGTTTGATTTTTATTAAA